GTTCTCCAGTGGTTCGGTCGATACCTCCTTGTACGAAACTGTTGTTTTGCTTCGTACGAAAGCAGTTTCAATGTACTACTTTAATATCTCAAAAAAACCCTCTTTTACGAAGATCACAACATCATCCAAGGCATTTAAGACAAGAAAATCGACTGACAGTCCCTTTATTCAATAAGCAAAAGCGATTCCACGTCAAAACGACGCGTTTCGAAATAACAACGAAGGTAGCGTTACACGTAATTTCGTCCCCATCTCCGAGTTAGGCCCAGTTTGCCACCGTGCCGATTCGTCACATATAAAAACATGTCCCTTAAGCCCTACTCCAATCGGAACAGTATCTGCGTGATACGTGGGCATTCGGTATCTTGATAAGTACAAATTGGTTTGCTATGTCTTGTGATGATCCGGAGCACAAATATTAAAGTACAGTTCGCATATGTGTTCACAACCATTCTGAACTATACGTCATACACACCAGTAACACAGCGAGTGTGATAAAGAAGCACATAATTTAGGGATGGTCTTGAGCTCACGCGCTCAATGTATAAATTATTGTCATTAGGAACGGGTCTCCTTGATAGGTAACTGTTGTTATTTCCTTTCTTCTTTTCGTGTGGGACACCGAGTCGTTCAACGACCCGATGATTTCCTTGATAAATTAACATCACATTGATGACGAAACGCGATGATCGTGGCAAGCCGAAACGGAGTCCCTTATTCTACGTCAATCTCTGTCCTAATAATCTGTAATCATATTACCTTAGAATTGAGCTTCATCTAAGTTCAGCTGTTTTACTATGTGTTGACCTTAGAAAGCTATGAAAATTAATTTTTTTAAGACCCGGCGGCCTAATTTTAGGACATAGAAATTTGGGATAAAATATTTCATCGAAAATGGCATATTTTTTACCAAATATGTTCAAAAACCAATGTTTATTCATTTATCTTTAAATTGCTTTCTTTTTTTTTTATGCAAAAAATAAACAGATTTTATAGAAATAAACAAATTTACTGAACTCGTTTTTTGAATCAGCCATCTTGCTCAGCTTTCAGGTCAAAATTACAGCTGTTTTTCTTTTAATATGTCAAAATGTATATATTTTTTAAAGATGCGTTCACGTACAACCCAATTTAAAGCTAGTTTCAAACTGGCGCCAAAATTCAAATCAATTATCCGACTCCAAAATTTATGTCCTAATATTAGGCCGCTGGGCCGATTCTTGCCGTTTCTTAAATCCAGTTTGGGCCTGAAGGACTTCTGAACGTATGTCCTAAAATTAGGCCGTTGGGCCTTACGAGGTTAAAGGTCAATCTCTCGTAGAAATATGTAATTTCATTACTGCGAGCAGCCTGTTGCACGTCGATACAGCTCAAAGAACGCTTTTTTCATCATCGTACATACATTTCATTTCATGACATACTGGGACTACTGTGGCCAACTGCGACTACTGTGGCCAACTGGACCACTGTGGCCAACTGGGACCACTGTGGGCAAATGGGACCAAGCCCCTTCTACGTCAATCTCTGTCCTAATAATCTGTAATCACATTACTTCTGGCAGCCTGTCGCACGTTGAAACAGCTTAAAGAACGCTTTTTTCATCATCGCACATTTCATTTCATGACGACTGCGACTACTGTGGCCAAATGGGACTGAGCCCCTTCTACGTCAATCTCTGTCCTAATAATCTGTAATCACATTACTTCTGGCAGCCTATCCCACGTCGAAACAGCTCAAAGAACGCTTTTTTTCATCATCATACATTTCATAACGAGTTTCATGACGTACTGGGAATACTGTGGCCAACTGCGACCACTGTGGCCAACTGGACCACTGTGGCCAACTGGGACCACTGTGGGTAAATGGGACCACTGTGGCTAAATGGGACCAAGCCCCTTCTACGTCAATCTCTGTCCTAATAATCTGTAATCACATTACTTCTGGCAGCCTGTCGCACGTTGTACAAAAAGAAGCTTGCGAGACTAAAAGGAAAACAAAAAAGAGGAAAGCAGAAGAAGCGCAACGACAGCCAGCGTTTTTGCCTTATGTAAAGGGAGTGACGGATAAAATAGGCAGATTATTAGGAAAGTTTTCCATTAAAACTGTTTTCACTCCCTTTAACAAAATTGGAAAACTACTACGATCGCCTAAAGACCAGCTTCCTCTTCAAACTCCCGGCGTCTACAAAGTTAATTGCAGCTGTGGGAGTTCGTACATTGGTCAGACCAAAAGAACAATAGTTGACCGCATGAAGGAACATATCAGAGCTGTAAAAAACAACGATGCCCAGAAGTCAGCCATAGCGGAACACCTAAACCAAGCGGAAACTAATCACTGGATTGAACTACATAACCCGCAAGTACTGTCAACGGAACGTCACTATATACCTCGTTTAGTGCGAGAAGCCATCGAAATCACAAAATATAAAAACTTTAATCGTGAAGATGGTTTCAAGCTGTCCAGTGCGTGGAATCCAGTATTAAACGTATACAACCGCAAAAAACATTCGACTTCAAACTCGCGAAGTGATACTGTTAGTGTGGTGTGTCGTGATCGTGACAAAATAGTGAGTGACAATAGTAGTGATTCGAGTAACCGTGTAGAACGCAGTCGACGAATCCGAAAGAGGGTAGACAGATATGTTTGCCCTTAGAAAGATGACATCACTCGCCGAGCCAGCCTACTCGTGACCATGGGGCGTGCAACCGCCTCGAAATATCGAGATAAACAAAAATATAATCACGGTAATAATCCCGTTCCAAACAATAATTTAAGAGGCTTATAACTTGGTATATGTTGGAAACTGTTTCTCAAACTGTACTGCATTGGTATTTGCACTATTTGCTTCAGCAGCAACTCTGACACCACGAAGATTGCCGTAGCAAAGGAGATAGATACTATGATTTGCTGTTACTGTAGGTCAATGTAAGCTGGAAAAGATTAAGGAATAATTCCAGGAAATAGTCAAATCAGAAAGACTTTGAAGAAACTTCAGCAACATTTCAGTAACCGGGGTTTATAGTTTTTCAGTTTACACCTCTAAACACAGGGGATCAACATTTTATTAAAGTTCATCATATAATTTTTTCGGAAAACCGACACAGACTGAAATTGACTTGTTTAAAATATTTGAGTTGCTACTGATAGTAACAAGAAACTCCCCAGCAATGATTTCAGATTGGAAACCACTGCCTGCGTGGGGACAATATAGACTAAGACGGCGAGCGTGAAAAATGAATGAAGTGGGGGAGTTTCTTGTAAGCTATTTGATAAGTGTGCTGGATAAATTCAAAAGAAAATCGAGCTCGATACATAAACAGAGAAATAGCGCAAATCTCTTTAAGGTTGGACAATATTTTAGCCATTTCATTTAAACTCGACAACTTTTGTTAATATACTATAATAATAATATCGACAGCAAGTGGAATGGCTAAATCGCTTATGTAATATTTCGGCAGTACAGATGCCCAAAGTTGCAAGTTCAAATCCTAAAACGCAAAAAAATAAACGGATACTCATCCCAATGATAGACTATCAGCAGTGTAACATATACCTACAGTATGTAAAAAAATCAACTGCAAATACTTTAACGGATGAATCAGCCCATGAAACTGAACAACTTTTCCGAAGAAACATAAGTCAAAGTGAGTATGAAATAAAAAATCTGGACCTCCCAATATGTACCAGCAGCTGGATACAAAATGTACCAGCCAGGCGAGATAATTTGTATGTTAGGCCCAAATGTTTTTTTCGTATTTTGCGGCTGGTCCAACCCTTAGAATATTTGCAGTTGCATTTTTTTACACCTTATACCGAGAGTAACGGAAAGGGTATAACAAGCCGAAAGGAGGTCAAGGTACTCATGAAACTGAACAACTTTCCCCATGGAACATGGGTCGAAATATGAAAAAAAAATTGGACCTCCCATAGTAAATCAATTAGCTCATCGGCGATTTTGTATGGGAGGTCCAAATTTTTTTTTCATATTTCGGCCCATGTTTCATGGGAAAAGTTGTTCAGTTTCATGAGTACCTTAACCTCCTTTCGGCTTGTTATACCCTGTATATAATGAGTAATGACATATTATTTTATCGCACGATTCAAAGAACCATTACGTCTAATTCAAATAAGTAGGTAAGATCCTCGGCCAACCGCCAAACCCTCATCATTTCCAGGGACGATACCTGACGTCACCTCCACATGGACAGATGGAACACACGTATGATATCACGTCGTCATCATCGCGACCAATATAATACAGACTACAAAAAAGGAGGTAATAATTTGAGCTGCATACCTGACATTGAAGGAAATGTCGAAAGGCGAAGAGGAAGAGAAAGACGCACATTCTTCACTGAAATAGAAGAAAAGGCTAACGTCGTGTCGTACCAAAAGGTAAAAACATTTGAAGGAAATAGACAAAAATAGAAATTAGCTCTTAAATTTTTGATGATGATGATGACTCTAAGGTGTGGTGGTCTCTTCAGACTTCGTCTTTGAGAAGTCATGTTTGTCAGCATTTAGATAAAGTGATCGATTTCGATGATTATGTATTCGACAACCTCTTACTCATCAAAATTAATTCGGTAGTTTTCAAAATGATAAGGACGTAATGTGTTTCACTGTGATGTCGGTTTAGCTTTTGCAAAATTTCGACTAGTTATGGAAGTCCTGCTATCTTATCTCGGTTTGCGTCTACTCACAAAAATATAGGTTGAGTTTTGAAATAAGAATCCATAGCACAGGTAAACGACCTCGATTCAGCGTGAGAGAAAGAGAAGTATGTATGAATCGAAGATTAAGATAAGCCGATAAAAAGTTGATAAAAAATACAATCTAAAATCGTGACGAAAAATGTGCGCAATCGCAATTTCAGTGGACGTCTCTTCATATTTTCGAAGTATTTTTGTATCTGTTTAATTCCAAATTCCAAATTTTAAAACACTCCCTGACTTCCCGTGTTAGGTTTACACTTGCACTATTTCGCAGGCTAAGATTGAGCCGCGGTAGCCCAGTTGGTAGAGGCGTCAGCAGTACAGATACCGAAAGTCGCAGGGTCAAATCCTGCCTGCGGCAATTTTTTTTGCAGTTAAACACAGTCTTCTGAATCACTCTCTAACTTTTGACAGACCTGGTGTGAATGGCCGTTTTTACAGTCGTTTACACTCAGCCTAGTCCGCAAGGGATATAAGCGTGATATATGAATGTAGGTATGTAGTTCTATAGTAAGTTAAGTTCGAGATGAAACACCTGTTCCACTATCACTAACTCAACTTCGTCATATAATATTCCTGTTGGAGCTACCGTAGTGGCGGCATGGCGCTTCCATCATGCACGCCACTTAGATATTGCAGTGTCTTGTATAATACTTGCATGTAATGAAAGCATACAGTGTGTAAGGGAATGCACGTTACTACAAATAGTGATACAATATGCCAGGAAACGACAAAAGTTTGAACTCCCGATTTGCTAACATAAGCATTTGACGTTTACTGAAATACTAGGTATATTTGCAGGGTAAAGTTGTTCAGTTTCATGGTCTGAATGCGCCCTATCAGTATTCTCAGGGTTGCCCCATACACCCCGTGGGTATTCAGAGTGTAAGAAGTACAAAACAATCCCTTAAGTGTAAAACAATCCCTTAAACCATGGTATGTCTTCATAATTACACACAACTTTTCCAAAGGAGCATGAGTCAAATTACGAGAGAAAAACGTGTCTCTTAACAAAATATGACAAGCTGTCTGGCAATTTTTTATGGGAGGTCCAAAAGGAGGACAAACCGTGGTTTAAAATTTTCACGTTTGCTTGCACACCCTGTATTTAGCTATTTTGAACATCCGTATAGTTCTGATGCATTCCAGGTAAATTTTCATGAAACTACACTTAGCACTAATCACAATTGTAAAATGTTTCAAGTTTGGTACTAAGTTTGAATCTCTTGTTGCCGAATATGCAGATGTTCAAAATTGGTACGCCATTTCCCAACACTCCAAAATAGTTTATCAGTGATCTTTTAGAGATAGCTCCGCAAAGTCAAACGCCATTGCTGTGTTGTTCTACATTTAAAATGTTAACTATAGGTGACAAAAATTGAAAAGAAAAGCCAGCTCCCACTGAAAATTTATGTTTCAGGGAAGTTTTCTGATGAATCTAGAGTGGTATACCTACAGACGCAGCTGTCAGTTGACTTTGCGGAAGTTCTACTGCTTGTACAGACTTAGGAGCTAGGACTTACTTCGGCTTGGAGTACGGCGACGATGGCGACGAAGACTTGTGGTTGCGATTCGGGTGCGAGTGCCTGTTAGCGTTGGAGTCAAGGCCGCCGCCCGGCGAAATCTTGCCGGCTAGTGCGTTCAAGGAGTGCAACATTGCGGGCGGCGGCCGGTCAGTCACCGGCCTAGTCACCCTGATAGCTTCACTAAGAGTGTCGTGAAGCCTGCCACCTTATCTCCTGATAAGAACCAGGGGCGCGGGGCCACCCCCGCCCCCCGCACCATCGCCACCTGTCAGCGTCACACACTCACACACGCGCGATGCAATGTTTGAATTTTGAACGTTCCGATTTATGTTAGCGTCCTGTCCGCTGAAGACATCTTCGTAACATCACTGAATCACTTTTTTCAAAATATATTTTTATATTATTATTTCACTCACTGTTTCTTTTTTGTACTTTGATTGTGTTATTCAAGTTTTCACAGTAGAATAGCTGTCGAATTTTAATTTTATTTAGTACGGCTTTTGCGATATCTTAGCGCTCGAGTGGTTTAACAGGTTTCCCCAATTTACATAAAATTACTTATGAATACATTCTATTCAATTCAGTAGAAATATTAATATAACCGCAAAGAAATAAAATGTTGAACAGAAAAAAGGGAATGTCGAAAAAGTAATAACGCCTGCAGAAATCATAACCGCAACAAATAGTATCAGTCACGTCGTTTTGCTATTCCGATTATGGCAGGCGATTTACATAAACGCTGTGGTAGGGTGAGTGAGGTAAAAACAAAACTATTAACAATCCCGCAGTTGGCACCCTTCGCAATAATAACAATGATTCGGTGTCAAAACACAAGCAATTCGCTAACAGAAATAATGGGTTTTTCAAATTGGCTTTTTGAGGGTAAAGAAATGAAATTTGATATTGGAATTTCAAACGAAAACACAATCCCAAATAGTTAGGTACTGACACTACTGACAGAAAAATTACCTACACTTTTTTTATTTTACCTAAATATTGTGGATTTTGATTATATTAGAGAGTAAGACAGAGCGTACGTTAATTATGAAAGGATACAGAATTTTTCTGACCTAAGTTATGCCTAATTACTGTGATAACTGCCAATCAATTTATTGCTCTCGAAAGAAATAATCTCAAGGATCTCGTAAAATACTAAATTATCATAGGTTTAGCTACCTACCTTTATTTCTCAAAATAGTTACTTAATATGTGTTATATATAACTCACTTGTGAACTGACCCCCCGATAATTCTAATAAAAGTGGGCCTTTATCTAAACTTTTATGAAGTAATTTTTCCTTGCTTATCATCATTATCACGACAGACATGAAAATGTAGATCTTTTTCCATAAAAACAACTTTTCCCATTATTGTTCGACAACCATCGCGAATGTATCTCCCTATCTTTTGGTTCCCCGATATTAATTCAATTACCATAATTCCGCGCTTAGTACCGCGTACCCATACTTCAACAGGAACGTCACTGGGTTTGAGAGAATGTGTCGCTATGTATTTTGTAACAAGTGTGACGAATTTAAATGCTATTTAGACAGTGGCGTAGCGTAGCGCCTTGTATCAAAATTGGTTAAGGGCACAAAAGTTAGTTTTTAGAGAGTAGGGCATAAGCCCGCTATAAACCAGGTGTCAGACGTAATTTCTAGTACCCCGGCGGTGTATTTTCTGTACCCCCACCTAGAACCGGCCCTGGTATCCGGCGGGCGGCATGGCTTACCTCGTCCGTAGTTCGGCTTCCTAGCCAAATGTTTGTGTTTATTTGTATTCATTATGCCTTTCATTTCTTTCGTAATGGCGGACGACGGCGGCGACTTTTTCTACTTTATGGCGAATTGTTTTTTTTGCCTGTCGCTGTCGGTTAGCAAGCAAGTAAATCGCTAGCAAGTTGGTGAATATAAAATTGTTCCATTAAACAGATTGTGGGTACTGTGTTTCAAGAACGTTAAATCACCACCGCTTTTGTCTGTTTATTGCACAGTGTCTAATACTTAGTTAAGATCGCGGTCACATCAGAGGCGTACCTACAAACGAGGGTTCTTTGGGTGATCCGCAAAAAGTACAAGGTCACTAACATTTTTCAATTATCTGAAAACTGGCAAGATAAACAAATTTCTTACGAAGAAATTCTTCATCACGAATAACGGAAACTTTATTATTACACTTTTTTAATTAAATCATAAAACTCCCAAGAATCTGCATTCTTTAAAAACTAATTACGAAAAAGTCAGTTCATCAGACTATGTTCATAACTATGGCAATGCTAATTTATTCCGAGTGAAAATTTAGCCTAATCGCACTCAAATTGTAGATGGGGAGCTTGAAAACGGCTGAAGTCGGCACTTGAAACTTTACATTAGGGAGCGGTGAAGTCAGCGTTCTAGAAAACGTACTACTGTGGTTTAGTATAGTAACAGATAAAAAGGTTATCTTGCTTAGTAGGAAAATTAAGATATAAAATAATATTACAAACAGCAATGTTTGGGTAGGTTTTTGAATTTTGACCATGACCTGAGTGGCATTGAATTGGCTTGATTTATGAAATTGCTATAGCGTCATTCCTACCTATTTTGATAAAAGTAATGTTATATGAGTTTAGTTCTACGAATAACTGATAACTCTCTTACTAGACCAATATCAGTTATTCAAATAGACCTAGTTATAGTTGCCATGCCAAATGAAGGTCTCAGTAACAGACTTTCATAAGAAAATCAACCTTAATTTGGCAAACAAACTCTGAAAATAGAATGAGCAGCAAAGCAAAGGGTCGTTGGAACCTCGCGAATTATCCACATTGCCTATTACGCGAACGTAAATTGGTGGAGATTTTTTTACTGAGCACGCCAAATCGGCATCGTCACGAAAGGGCGCGCACACCCTTCGAACGTGTTCAAATACTTACAGAGGATGTGGATTACTTTAGCGCGACCTAATATTATTTAAATTTTCCTCTAAAATTCCTGTTTCTTCTAAAATTTGTAATGATTTGTGTTGATTATAAAATCAAAAATCAAAATCAATGTACTTATTTCTCAGTAGGAATTACAAGATTCTCTTTAAGAAAGTCACATTCTAATTCAAACTTAGAAAAGAGAAAATTTTTAGTGTAAAATTTTCTCTTTTTTATAACAATTTGTGTTCCTACTCTATACTATCCTAACCTATACTAACTGAAAAGCATACGCGTACACAAAAAATCGATTTTAATGATTTGTCTCCTTTACAAGAAAGTTGCACGAGTCAAGTTTTGATTTATTTATAGTGTCAAACCAAGTCAAAACTGTGTTTAGTTTAACAAGCATTACTGATCCAGAAAGTAAGAAAAGGTGTACAGAAAGTTTATTGTCGTAATCAGTTCATGAGACTGAATAATTTACTAAAGATACATAGGAAAGCTGTTCATGATCATTTCATTCGATGACTGCAAAGATTTTCATACGCTGTCCTTTACACCCTGTATATACAACGTGTTACAAAACAACCCATAAAAACTCCCATACAAATTGAGTTCATTTTGTATGGGAGCTCCAAGTTACGAGTACCTTGACCTCCTTTCAGCTTTATTGGTTGTTTTGTAACACCTAGTATATGTAAATGATGATTATGCATACCTATAACCTATAGGTTGACAGTAAACCGAATTTAGAACGGATTATGTGCTAATCCTGCAATGATCAATAGTAATCTATAAATCAAATTGAAATGGTTTAATTATCTAACAGGTAATTGCGTATGATGTACATACCTAGACACAGATTTTGAACGGGATTAGAATATTTAGAATATTCTGACTGTATTCGACCTGGGAAATGCTATAAAAAGTG